CGAGTGGCTCTTCCTTTCCAGACTCCAGTTTGAACATTAGGCATCTCTCACTCCATATATTATTCTTTGCTGCAACACCTTAAGCATCACTTTGCTTGCACAGGAAATTAGTGCAATGGTCCTATCGTTGTTGCACTGTTTGAAAATTGATACTATAGAAGGTATAGGTCATATACAGGTTGTATTTTTGCCTTTTTGGATTTGACTGGAGCCAGTTCACATTCCTGGACCACTACAGCAACATTTGGCTAACCACTTTCTTCAACCTTTCCCGTGAACATGGGGAGATTGTGAGGGAGGTGAATGGGCAAGGATGACTGGCAACGTGGGAATCCCCATCTCCTCTGTACACTTTTTGTGAACACCTGGGGAGGATGATGGTATGTGGATGTCTAAATGAGTCCTCTCTGCTTCACAACAAAACGTTCAGAACCACAGAGAAAGAACACATGCCTACCTCTTTGATTTTACACATGTGGAACTTTTCTCTTCTTGTTTTTTTCTATGACAAACTGAAAAATAAATTATATCAGTTAATATCTTGCTCCAGGAATTTAGTTATTTACGGTATCGATATCCTGGCCTTCCCTGAAGGATAGCAATTGTGGCCAAGTATGTGTCTTGCTCCTCTGTGGGCTCCTCAATTACCCTCAAACATGGTTAGGCTGAAAGACGGTGAGAGGCCACAGTGAGCTCATGACCGAAGGAGATGCGAACTTAGATTTCTGTGGTCCTAGTTGGCCACCCACTAAACTGTACACTGTGCTTCATTCACATTGCCTTCTGTCTGGCCCATAACAAATTCAGACAGGAAGATTTGCTAAAAAATTGTGGAAGATTTACATGAATGTGTCCTGAAGCCTTGAACTACGTACTGGGATGTGATCAGCCAGGCTTGCAATGAAGATGTGTGGGAGTACTGTTTGCATTGAAAAAGCAGAGTGGTTTCACTGATCATGTACCGGATCTATGACTGCAACATCCTGAGAGAGCTCGGACGTGCAGAACAGCCACCCCAGCAAAAACAACATGGAGAAGGCTTAGGCATCACTAGTCATTCCTTCAAACACAAACTTGCGAGTATGTTTTTTTAAACAGAGGAAGGTTGCAATTCAGGTGTACGTCCTGGATAAATCATCAGGTAATGACTTACTAGAGGCAGGCAACACGTGTGTAAGTCAGCCCATTTCTAATTATGACTAAGAACATTTTAATTAGATTAAGAAATACAGCAGGATATATGGAATGTGGTTTCTTAGATCTAGATTTGAGGGGAAAGGTTTTACACTTCATTTTTGGTGGTTTTGTAATTTCTGAAGAATATTTGCATATGTTCATTACAAGAGGATGAGGTTACAGTTTGCGTATCTCCTTCCCAGAAATGCCAAGAGAGAAAAAAAGTGCAGATGCGGGAATCTATTTGTACTTCCTCTGCTCCGCAAGGTTACCCTTTTTCCTTTGCTAGATCTTGTTTGGAAATGTGACCAACAGAGCAATTGATACAGTGAATTTATTATTGAGATAATGCACATTACAATAGTATATATACTGAACCAAATAAGCAATATGGAGGCAGAATGCAATACTATCTGCCTGCATAATGCTTATTTATATTATATATGAAATATATACATGAAAATTCACTGTAGCATTCTCTAACATGTCTATGTGCATGGTGTGACATATATTACCACACCAGTAAGACATGCAACATTGTTCGATCAATCCCTTGAGAATATGCTCTCTCTATTAATAAATTTGTTATTGTTGGAGCTCTTATTGGATGAGCAGCAGAGAGAGTTAAAGGTTAAAATGGAGGACTGTATTAGGATAGGGCTGAATTCATTCAGCTATAAAAGGCCTGAGACCACCAGCAGCCCTTTGGCACGATTTTCTAAGTTAGATGTTTCTCGTTTGCTGAAAGGCTTACAAGAGGTTGGAAAGATTGCACCATAAAGACAAGATTTCATTGCCTGGTGAGGACACACTGTGCTAGATGTTCTACCCTGCTCTTGCTAAGAATGATTCAGGATGGAAGAGATGGGGGTTTTGTTTTCATGCTGATACCTTAATGTAAAGGTAACTTGTTCAATACTGTGTATATTTCTTCCTCTTAAAAAAATGTTCAGAAGGGAAATTCAAATAAGTTGTGAAACCTCATGTCTTTCCAAGTGTACTATTCACCCATAGGGACAGCAAATGAAGTGTATACAAGGAAATCAGTGGTTAGGCAAAACTGTTTTCACTTGTTACATCTCCTGGAGGTTGTCACTCAGCCAAGGGACTATGATCAGCCATCACTAACACATCTCTGGAGCACCCCCCTCAGCTACTAGTATATGCACCTACATGCTAGTTAGTGATCTAGTATTATTGCCTGATACTTCCTTTGTCTAACTGGAAATTTACAGCAGTGAGATGTCATCCTTTTGCAGGCACTGATTGCCTTCTACTTCCTCTTACTTCATGAGCAACAAATGTTACTGCTCCTGTCACTGGAACAGAATTAATCATACTATAAATAAGCTTCATACAGAAATGATTGTGGGGGCAGAACAAGGAGCCCTTTGAATATGGAATGCCTCAGAAGGTTATTAGATGTTCCACAGGTGCTTGAACAAAGCCTCATGTTATCACTGTAAGGTACAAAGGGGAAACTGCATAGCAGAGATGCAAATGAAGCTGGTTTTCACAAATCTTGTGCATCTCGCTTTCACCTCTGTTGTTTATAGTGATCTTATAAGTGTTAAACAGAAATATCAGGGATGATATCGACATTAAAGGTACTAGAATCAGAGATGAAAGCTATAAATTGCAAGCATTTGGAGATGATCTAGTTTTCATAATGGAGGAACCCTTAGTAACAATGCCTAAACTCCTACAAAGGATTGAAGAATATGGTGAGGTTACTGGGATGAAAATAAATAGAGAAAAGACTAAATTGTTAGTAAAAAATCTCACACAGGAGCAGAGAAAAACTCTGGTGGAACAAGTAGACTTTCAGATTGTTAAAAAGGTTAAATGTTTGGGAATTTATCTTACAGCTAAGTGTACCACTCTGAAAGAAGACAATTATGATAATCTGTTTAAGGATATTAAGAGTGTTTTGGAAAAATGGGCTAATTTGCAATTATTCTTGCTGGGAAGAATAGCACTAGCTAAAATGAATATATTACCAAAGCTTTTGTTTCTATTCCAAATGATTCCCATAAAAATTGATAGAAATTTTTTTGATGATTTAAATTTTCAAATCTCAAGATTTATATGGAGAAAGAAGAAACCAAGGATTAAACTAAAAATACTTCAGGAGACTAAAGCGAAAGGGGGCTTCGGTCTCCCTGATTGGATGCTGTACTATCAAGCTTCTATTTTAACATGGCTAAAAGAATGGATAACTTTAAGAAATAAAAGAATCTTGTATCTTGAAGGGCATGATTTGCAAATGGGTTGGCATGCTTATATGTGGTATGAAAAGGCTAAGTTACATGGCTATTTTTAAAGTCACTATATTAGGAAATCATTAATGTTGGTGTGGGAAAAGTTAAAGACAAAATTGTATAATAAATTACCAAGATGGCTTTCACCTATGGAAGCTTTTGTATATCCAAATGCACTGAACTTTGAAGGGATCATAAGATATGACGACATTTTGGATAATGATGGAGGATTGATATTGAATCAAGAAACGCAAGAACAAGGATCTAATATTTCTTGGTGGCATAAGGTGCAGATACAATCGAGATTGCTAAAGACTATTAAATATGGGGCTTTTATAAAGATTTAACAGCATTTGATCAGGTGATGCTTAAATCAGATGAGAAAATGATTAAAAGACTATATAACTTCTTACTCAATAGGAGAATGGAAGATGAACAGGTTAAGGAAACTATGATAACATGGGCACAAAATGTTGGATATAATATTGAATTAGAAAAATGGCAAAAGCTGTGGGAGAGAAATATTAAGGTAACATTAGCAACTTCATATAAAGAAAACCTGTATAAAATGTTTTATAGATGGTATCTGTCACCAAATAGATTAGCTAAGATGTTTCCAAATATGTCAAATGGATGTTGGAAATGTAAACATAAACTGGGTACTTTCTATCATATATGGTGGACTTGCGATAATGCAAAAAAGTATTGGATTAAAATACATAAATGGCTTGAGGAAATGCTACAAACCTGCTTTTAAACCTGAAGTCTTCTTATTAGGCATTATACCTGTTGATATTAGTAAGCAAGAAATGTACATGATTTTTACATTTAATTACTGCAGCAAGGATTGCATTTGCTCAACACTGGAAAAATGAAGAACCACCCACCGACGAACTGATCCTAAAAAAGATCTTGGACTGTGCAGAAATGGATAGACTGACTTTGTCATTGAAGGAGAAAGAAGATACTGATTTCTATCAAACTTGGGACTCTTTTTATCATTGGCTAGAGAAATGGAACTTCGTATAGATTTAAATATGTTTCTAAGTTATCACAAATGGGAAAAAAATATGGGGGCTGACCTGACAGGTCTGATGTTTCTAATGAATGATGTTGTTTTTAGTTTTTCTTTGTTGTAGGGTTATTTTGAATAAAACTTATTATAAAAAAAAAACAAATCTTGTGCATCTCAGTTATGTGGCAATTCTCTTCTGGGCATCATCACCACCATCATAATCTTCTATACCACCCCACAGCTGAAGCTTTCTGGGCCATTTACACATCCATAAAAACAAATGATAAAAATACAATAAAAGTATCAGAAAAATCAGGAAAAATGTTTTAAACAGCTAAAAACAGATGATAAATCAAGCAATGCAAAGACTGATAAAAAGACTGACTCTGCCAATACCTGGTGATTCCCCTAAAGTCAGGTAATTACTTAAAATCCTCAGAAAAGAGGGCCAGCTTAACCTGGTGCCTAAAAGATGGCAGATTCAGTGCCAGCTGGGCTTCCACGAGAGGTCGTTGAGGCCCCATCGGTGCGGGTGTTCAAGGATAGGCTGGACGTCCACATGGTGGGCATGTCGTGAGCAGAGCCGGCTGGTGCCAGAGGTCAGACTAGATGGCCCAGGAGACCCCTTCTGACTCGCTCTGTTTCTATGTTTCTATAGTAGGGATGTTCTCCCATAGATGAGGCAACACCACCGAGAAAGCCTTTCCCTAGTTGCCACCCTCCACAGTTCTCTCAGAGCTGGCATTTGGAGGAAGGCCCCAGAGATTGAGTACAGAAATACAAAGGACAGAATCACAAGACACTGCATGATCCAGATGAGTACCTGGCAACAGTTTGTGTCCAAGGAGAGCCATCATGGTTATAAGTATCAGAAGTAATGCTACTATAGATAGGACACTTAAGGACTTTTCATACTGTTCTTGACCCCAAGAGGAAGAGGCTGGAAAAGAAAAACATGTCCTCATTCATTCTGTACCTTTAAGAATAAGCAGTGCCTTAATATCTGAGTTCTCTGCATTAGAACATTTGGCATAGCGATGCTCTTGCTTCTTGGCAATGGTAAAGGAAGGACTGAAAAAACAATGGCAGACTAACATTTTCAGTCCACATTTGGCATCCTCAGGAAGTGACTAAGGTTTCCTTGCCCAGTAAAACTCACCAGCCCTGACCTGCCCCTTTCACTAATCTTTGGGTCTGCAAGCCACAGGCTTTATTTACCCACAATGCCTCGAAGCAGCACCCACCAGCGAGTGGAGGCTCTCCAATGTAAGAAAAGACCTGACAAGAGTGCACATGGCCAGAAGCCCCTCTAGTACTGACCTGTCCTTTCAACCATTCCCACAAAACTTTTCTCATCAAACCACCTGGTCTCATTTTCATGGGTTCTTTTTTAAACCTTCTCTTTTTCCAAGTGTCCAAAAGCAGGATCCCTTCTTAATCTGCCAGAATTGGAGGGCAGGGAGGGGAGAGTATGTGTGTGGAAGAAGGGTGAGATCCCTTTAACTTTGGAGACAAACTAACCCACCATGTCTCCTCCACACACCACCTAAGAGCACCATGCCTCTCTGCAAGCCAGAGGACCCTGGGACAATGTGCTGCTTAAGCTCATGCTAACATGGATAGCCCAACCTGCAGCGTCCCATTTGCGTTCCTGGTTGATGGAGGGCCAGACACAGCCACCTTGGGGGTGCCTGGGCTTGCCCCCATGTCTGCAGCCTGACCTTGCTTTCCTTGAGGGTGTCATTTGTCTGAGCCAATGCCTCCTCAGAGGTAGTGTATACCCAGTCACTGAGACTGCTGGGCAGCAACACAGTTTCAAGTTACCACTGCTGTGAAAATCTCGCCACTTGTATATACACATTGAGAGGAGGTGCCTATACACAGGATGGATACAGGACCCTCATACTCCATGAGCAAACATGTGGGGATCACCCACAGCTGTCCCCACCCAACATGTGGGGATCACCCACATGAGCAAACATGTGGGGATCACCCACAGCTGTCCCCACCCTACATGTGGGGATCACCCACATGAGCAAACATGTGGGGATCACCCACAGCTGTCAACTGACTCTAAGAATGGGCTTAAAGGGTATATCTGCAGGCTGAAGAATGATCATCGTACTGTGATGGCTGCCACAACATTTCTGCCGTGTGACCCAAATATAACTATTCTATAACACACTGATATATCTATATCCCTGTATAGATATATTAGAATAGACTGGTCGATAGAGCTGCAGATATTAGCTTTCAGCAGTATTATTATCAGCACTTACTGCAGGGAAGATCACAGATGTACGAAGGAATAGAATAGTCCACATCTGTCCTCCAACCCTTATAAAAGGAAAAGGGGGTTATTTCTCTCTGAAGAAACCTTTGCAGCATATTGCATGAATAATTTTTATAGCACTTATTGACAGATAACAGAGAGAGAGATTACAGCTATTACAGCTACAGAAGTACAGCTATTAGGAAATAATCTGCTTAAATTTCCTCTGATCAGTCTCTTTAATTAAGAAAAACTGCTGTTTTGGGAGAACATAAATATTGAACTTCCTCCCTAAAGTTGAAGACTCATTTATATTCTTCAGCTACAGACTTGGGATTACACTGGGGAGACACAAATATGTTCATTCAGGATCAGTGCACAGAATGTATCATTTCCACAAGGGGGCTGAGTTAAATCATTTTCCAAAGTAGTTGCTGTATCTGACAAGCCACTCCAGAGCAGTGGTTGACCCTGCAGAGAAAACAAGTTCATCTGTACTGCTGCAGATCTTTTTTTTTCTTTGCAGTTTACAGGGGTGCGATGCTGCCCATGATGGGCAACACGTGGTACCAGCAGCCATGCAAGAGTACTTGCAAATGCCCATCCCATAAAAGCCATCATATGCAGACAGGCTACCATGGAGTTGTCCTGTGCTGTATGTACACTACCATTTCTCAAAAAAATAAATTTCGAATTTCACTTTTGATTCTGATAGCTTCTTTTCTTTTATAAAGAAGCCCTTTCAGGGAGCTGTCACCACCTCCAGAAGGTCTACAAAAAAGCAAATTAAGCTGAACATCCTTGAGGAGATCATTATTAGTTCTCACAGGGGTAATTTGGGGTTATATTAGCTAGTGCTACAAACCATCTAAAAGTTTTCATTTGGACCACACATTGGAAGTTTAATAAACAGCTCAGTTTGCCTCAGGCAGATCCAGAGGCTACTCATCCTAACTCAGAATAAAATCCGAATCTCGGTTCAGAAATCCAAACCTTCATACATGACTGGAAATAAACAAAGGACTATAACATTTTGGTTGTTTGACAAGGTTGGGTGGAACTGCAGGCATAGCAGCCCTTTTGAGGGATGAAACGTACCAAATGTAAGACAGATAAATGCAGGAAGGTTCATTTGTGCTAGATGGCTTTCAATTTTCATTAAAAAAGAAAACTGTAAATTAATTTTAATTTCTTAGGAGAATTGTTTGATGGTTAAAACAGAAGTGGGCCACATGTGCGCCCCCATGCACAGCAGCTCCTTCCACCCCACTGAAATTTGGCAGGGCAGTGGCAAAAAAGAAGAAAAAGTGGTTTGACTATAGAGGTCCAAAGGTATCAGACTGAACTTGTTTCCAAGCTACTGTTTGGCGCTTTGGAGCTTCTATAGTGATTCACAGCCAAATTTCTGCAGCAAACCACATTTCCCCACTGATGGTGGCACAGCAGCAGGCGTGTGGTCCCTGGGAGCATTTGTGGGTTGAAACCTGGTTGCAAGACTAGCAAAAGCACCCACCCCCTGCCATAAAGTTCTGACATTTCCAAGAAAAAGTATGTGCTTATTTCCCTACATTCTTTGTGGGCAACGGTTATGAAAACGGCTTGTAGCACAGGCATGGCCTTAGCTAAGAAACCTGAAAAACTGGGGAAGATAGATACAGGGTCCAGGCAATTATGAATAAAGGCCACTTACACCTTTGTGGTTGTTTTCTGCTGAATTGGTACCAAAGTCACTGAAAGTGCAGTAAGACTGAGATTGATGCTGGATATGGAGCTTACAATGGCTCCAGTGGCTTGAACATGCAACGTTTTTCAAGCAAGCCCCAATTGCTATGCACCCCAAGAGATTCCCCAAAGACTCTTTTAATATTTCTGCTCCTGTGAGGAAGAACTAGCAAAGAGCCCTGAGCACTGGAGGAGGCCCGCTGTATGTTGCTTCAACATCTCTCTTCCAAGCAGGGGGATTTAAGAGCCCTGATAAAAGCCATCCACTGTGAGTAGAAGGCATTCTGTCAGTCACACAACTGCACCCACACACTGCCCTTACCACCCTGGTGTTTTCTCCTATGAAGAGCTTGGAGAGAAATGTTGTCAAATGTTGCCGACATCCTGTCTAGCTTTGAGTGTCCCTCCAAACGGCTAACAGAGCACTTTGTAGGAAGTCTAATTCAATCTCGACATTCCCCAAATCTCTCCGAATCTGCCCAATTCAGTGCAGGATTTAGCTACATTCAAAGGACTCCCCTATTGCTGACTAGTAAAAAGTAGGCGGCAGCAGTTTAATTCCTTGCATGTGCCAACTAGATTTTGACTATTAAAAATATCCCTAGAGATCATGTCCTGCCTTTATGAACTGTTTAGCTTGACCAAATGATGTAAACACCCTTGCATTATAGCTGCAATCATTGGGCAATAAGATTTTAAAGAGCTGGCTAGAACCACATTTGGCATTCACAGGTTCTTTGCTAGGTGGCTCTTTTTCATTTTCTTCCTGTATACCACAAATAATTGATAAAAACACAGGTTGGGCCCTGACAGCACATTTAAACTATTCATCATGCTCTTTGCATACCTCTGCTGCACCACAGTCAGAGGCAGCAGGGAAGGATGAGGAAATGATCCATCCCCTGCTGGCTGTTATTTCCATGCTGCCACAGGGCAGATCTTAAAAAGAGAAAGCATACCTGAATGCAGATGTTTGCACCACAGATATTCCCTGAAATGTTGACAGATGTTGAACTTAAACCCCCCTGGAGAAGGAAAAGGCAATGACAAAAGCAAATCAGACTCAGAAACCAACCCAATCTTGCATCTTTTCTGCTTTTGGTCATGCCACTCAATCTGCTGTCTTCCAAACACAGCAGGTGGCACATTATGTGGAATGTTCTGCAGAGCAGTTTCCTGCATGGCAGTGCCAAGCTGGGACTAAGAAAAGTGTCCCAGGGAAAGGGAAATCTCTCTCTCTCTCTCTCTCTCTCTCTCTCTCTCTCTCTCTCTCTCTCATCCATGTACTATGGGATCAGGCAGCTACAGCACAAGTTCTTCTAAGCACTGTAGACTGTCAGGGGACAAGAATAGATTGAAGAACTGACCCAATAAGGCAGGATGACTCAAGAGCTGTCTGATCACTTTTGTAGAGTCATCTGAAGACCAGTTCCCACATGCACATTGATTGCTTGATCCCTTAAGTGTGAATGTGTTGCAAAATATTTTGTTTTCTCAGGCTTTGAGGCTGATTTTGTGATTATAGTAAATCATGGGACAGTGTTTCTCAGAACCAAAGCAAGCATTACTTTAAGGATGTCGTGACCTGCTAGAGAAGATGCGGAGGGGACTGATCTATACTGGGACCCAAGAGTGGGGGGATTGGAGAGTTTAACCTTTTTTCTTCCCCCCACCCCACATCATGCTATGAGTCTGATCTAGATTACAGTGGAGGAGGCACACCTGCAATTTCTGTAGCAAAATCATGATCCAAAATAATGTGTGCTTTGGCCCTCAGCTGCCAGATCACCCATCTCCAGCTGGGTATCCTCCAGATGTGTTGGACTCCAAACCCCATCATTCATAGCTAGATATAATCAAATACATCTGAAGATATGAAAGTCAGCACTAGACTTTGGACAGCTTCATGCTGATTCCCAGGACAGAGAAGAGAAAACACCTTCTCTAAATTAAGAAAACATTTTTCATGTGGTTTGCATTATAAGGGTTAGCAGTGAATAACAGTTTTACCCACATCTGTTCAGAGTTGGGTCTCAGTGACCAATTTTTTTTCCTTCTTCCCTTTAAAACCACATTGAAAACACAAGTGTAACAATCTGGTCAATCAAGCATTTAGAGATCTGGGTGTACTTTTTTTAAAAAGTAACCTAGCACTATTGTTCGGAAAGTCATTTCTCCTGATAGCTCTGTATGAAGCAATTGTTCATTGTTACATCCCTGGAAAAGAAGCTGGAGGAAATGACTTAAAAACCAGATATGGGACCTCTGTGTTCCAAGATTTCCCAACCACCGTGGAGCTGTACAGAATATAGCAGTTCCATGACAACATGTGAGGTTTTAAAAGGATGAAGAGAAATCAATGAACCCATTTCATAGTAAAGCTTAGCTATAATCCAGTAGTATTTGGTTGCTCTTTACTATTTAAATATTTCAGGGTGCAATCCAATCAGGCTGCCCTTCAGCCTCCATATTCAGAGGACTACAGATACCAACTGCAGAGTGAGAGGTGGAGACAATCTCAGTATTTCTGCTAGGCATGTGATTCAGCCATTGAGCTGGGCTGCTTCAAAAAGGGAGGGAAGAAGGCTGTAGCGGACAGAGGATAAATGGTACCTTGGCTTCTGCAGTCCACCGGAACACCCCTTTACCCTTCTCCAAGCTTAAGTTCCCAGTCTTGGAGGGGCACCTACAGGGGTCTTTCTATGCTGGCTTCAATGAGTGGGGGCAGATGATGAGCTCAGATTCCTAGTTCCGGAGTTGCATCTTTCTTTCCAGTCTCAGATCTGGAAATCTGAGGAATGCTACGGCCCCCAGGCAATTCTAGAGGCTGCAGCATTGTTCCTTCAGGCAATGAGGAAGGTTTTAGATAAACTATGATGTCGTGAAAGCAGGGCTCTTGAGGAAGCAGAACCTACACTTACAACGTACTTATTAGCAGGCAAGCTGATGTGCCATGCCACCCTCTTCAGACTTCCCTCTCAGTTTAGTGCCAACCTTTGCTGTAAATGAATTTTCCCAACAACAGTGTATGGTTTCCTTTTGTTACATAAAGTATTTCAAAGTTCTAGGTCCTGAATGGGCAACTAAAACTCATCTGCTTTACAAATACTTTCTCCTGGTGAATATGAAAACAACTGGAACTGGTTTCTTAATAGGGATCATTACAGGTACCTGAATTTTTGAACTAATCTTGGGGGTGAGACTATGGGAACAACCATAATGAACATTGGTGTTTCATCATTTAGCACACCTCTGTTCTTATGAACCATGCATAGTCCTTCCACCAAGATAAATGGTTCTCCTGCATGCAAACCTTCTCAACATTTTTGAATTAAGAAGATGTGTCAGGCATAACTCTAGCATGCTGGGTTCAAGTATCAGCTTTTGTGAAATAAAAGGATGCACAAACCACTGAGACTGACTGCCGAATTCCAGTAGAGTTGCATGAAGACGAGCCAGTCCTGTTACACACAAGAACTGAAAACTGCGCTTCAGTGTGTGAGGTGAAGGAAACTTCTAGCTGTTCTTCCATCACAGCAACTCTCATCTTCCAAGCTGGAACAGAATGAGGAAATCTATCTGTGCAATTGGTATGTGGTCATAGTTGAACCGGCGATGTTTTTATCGTCGTCATTAAATATTGCTTTGATTTACAGCACATGCATCCCTGAGGCTCAAAGCTGAGAACAAAATGTCCATAGTTCATTCATTCTTGCAACAGTTGTGTTACTGTAGATCATTGTTGCCTATTTTTACAGACAGGAGACTGAAGCTAAGCACGTGCTCAGTGTTGCACCATGAATCCATGCTTGAGATGAGATGTGAACAGAGGCCTTAGAGGTCAAGAGCCAGCATTCCATTCCAACAATCTAATTTCTGGATGTAAGAGCTGCATCCCCAGATCTTCACATTTCCACTAACTACAAGTCACTGCTTCTCCTACTTTAAGAACTACCAATGAAAGTATATCTGCAAATGTCATGTTGGACTTTTAATTTCAGTTATGAATGTAGATGAAACCATTTTCCAGACCTCCACAAGGTTTTTTCAGTAGTCAAAACTTGCCAGTTCCACTATAGCTAATACCAGCAAATTGTGTCTTTCACACTTCCTGATAGCCCATTCTATCATTCTCAACTCCTCATACCTTACCTACCCTGCCTGTCTCCCTCATGGGCATAACCCTCAGTTCTTGGGACATTCAAGGTTCATTTCTCCCTAGAAATCACTAATACTGTGCTGAAATTTTGCAAATGTTTCAGCATGAAATCAGAGCTTTCCAGGACCCTAAAATGTCCCCCACCCCCAAACCTGGTCTTCAGTAATTCAGCAGCTCCTTCAACACTATTTGTTTTCCAGATAAGAGCATCTTCACATTGATGACTTCTCTCCATTGACTTATCATGACAGTACATCATGATGTCATGTAACTAATCAGATTTGGCAGTGTGAACACACCCCAAAGCAAATTTAAAAGGAGACCAGTGGTTCCTGCCTTCAAGCTGTTGAAATGGCTTTATGGCAACACAATGTGGCTAATTCATGCTGGCAAAATACTTTTGCTTGTAGCACCCTCCACCCTACCCCGATTACTTAATGGGAGAGCACTTTTTGCATATTTGGAAAGCATTCGCAAAACACATCCTGAATTCAGTCCTACAAGTCATCTACTAAGTAAACCTTCTTCCTGATTGAAGGTTTGGTTGGGGCTTCGCTGCCATCTTAAAGAAGTTGTTTTCTTTCATAATCTGATGAAGCTTGCCTGGAAAGAAGTCTGCAGGTGGCTTATGTCCCTGCACTCCAGTCCTCCTTGCAGGTTTTCCACAGGCAGCTGATTGGCCACTGTATGAACAGAATGTTGGACCTGATGGAACTTTGCCCTGATCCAGAGCATCTATATTCTTAAATGTCTTGTTTATGCATCTATAGTCTTAAATATCTTGTTTTGATAAGCTGCCCTGTAGCTTGGCAACAGCTTAATTGATTCTTAGAGGAAGGGTTCACACAATGGAAAATACTTTTTCAAAAGCTATATTCTTCCACATTCTTTCACATTTTTTTTAGACTTTATGTTATCGTAACTATAGACAAAGCAGTTTGCTATGCTATGATGACTTCGAATCCAATTAATCCATTATGAATCTATGAAGGCACTTATAAATATAATGGACATTTTACCTTGGGATTTTCCATGAGCAAATGGGCATCGAACCCAAGAGGTGTGCTTAGTTGTAAACTAAAATGGGTTTTAAAAGAAAAGGCAATTGGTTAGTGAATTTTAAACCAGTCTACATTTCTAATTGCAGTGAAGTAGTGCAAGAAGAAGCTGATGAGCTCGAGTTTCATCCCTGCAAAAATCGTTCTGCTGGCTAAACTGCCAGTGTTCTATGTACAATTAACCACATCAGTTAAATAATAAAATCATTATGGCAGCACTTTACATGCCACTAACAAGTAATCCCATTAATCACCATGAGATTTCTGTCCAAGCAAACATATGTTGGATTATTTCTTGACATCTATATACCACCCAAGAGCCAAAGAATTCTTGGTGGTTCACAAAATGAAACTTAAAAGTATAATGTTCTACAACCTAGTGTTGTGATTGTGCTGAGAAGTTCTTTTCGGCTGTTTGAATATATGAATAGAGCATGGGATTGCGGAGCTGAGCTCCACCCAGACTTCTCAGCATTCAGTAAAGCTTCCAGAAATAGTCTTCACACATGAAGATATATGCATGCAGTCTCTCTACAAAGCAGGACGTTCTGCATATAAGCTTGGATCCAAATTCAGTCATCTTTAGAGCAGCCTCCTTGAACTCAGACCCACTGGATCATGCACTGGACCTGCTTTAAGCATGACTAACCCTGGTTCCAATAGGAATGAGCAGTGGGATGGTAGAACATACTTCTGCAACCCTGTTCCACACCTGCATGCATACATCTGAGCAGCCTTCCAGACCAGTGTTGGTCTGGAAAGTGCAGTCCAGGTGTACTTAATTGTAATTCCCATGGTTCCCAACCAGCGCAGCCATTGATCATGCTGGCTGGGAACCATGGCAATTGCTGCCCAGCACATCTGGAGGGTATCAGGCTTGGGTCAGCTGCCCTAGAGTGCCTGGAAGGCCTTATTCGGTCTTCGTTCAGGGCAAATCTGCACAGAACATGATGCATTCGACATGGAAATTTTCTAAAATAAACATTTAGGTAGCATTAGCGGGGGAGGTCTGTTCATTAATGTGGATCCCAGCAAGTGGAGAAATTGAATTAATCCATCCCTCTCCTGCTCCAGTCCTAAAGAAAATCCTTCTACTCAGTCTGGTACTTGCATTCTGAGTTGTTCCAGACTAACTCTAGTGAGGGATTTCCTCAGCCTAAGCAAATACCAGCCTCAGGGAAAAGGCTTTTCTTGGTGATGCTGCAGAGGAAGAAGGGTTAAAGTTTCCTTTCATACATGTGCAGTCCTGATAATTATCCCACATCCCAGCTGATGCCATTTGTATTTTTAATGGAATGAGTCATTTAACTGCATCTAATTTGGGTCCCAGACAAAATCCTTTGGAAGTCAAAACAAAAATAAACTCAAACTAATCCATAACATTTTTTTCTTGAAATACTACCAGAAACAAAACACTTTCAGTGCATTCATAACCATACTTATGCTGACCCTCTGTTTTCAATAATAGCTTGTAAGTATGCCTTGGAGTGCAGCTTTGGGATTGGGTAGTTCTTTGACAGGCTAAATAATTCATATCCAATTAATACACTGTTCACAAGATCAATGTTTCCTCACCTGTCTTTGCATGGGGCATAGCCATTTGCTTAAAATTATCTTCTCTTCCTCCCTACCTTTAGCAAATTAGTTGTGAAAAGGAAAACTCAACCAGGGGAATAATTATTTTCAGCCATACATTTTTTAAAAATCATTATTTGCTGCCTAGAATGGAATATCCTTAATAAGTAGTAAGGTTGGATTATTTATTAGGAAATCACATACCTTCATGCAAAGTCTTGGATGTACATCAACTTGGGAATATTTCACCTGATCGAAAAGAGTGCTCAAATAGTTAGTTGTTGATATCCTCGGAGTAGATGAATAGCAGCAACACTAGCCTTTGTAGGATTTTAGATTTGTCATTTATTACATGAATATGAATTAGGGATGTGTCACTGTGGCCCTACAGATTTTGTTGGATTGCAATTTCCATCAGCTCTAGCCAGCAAAGACCAATGACAAAGGATGAAAGAATTTGCAGTTGAACCACTGAATGACTATGGCTCTGGTATGAATGTTTTCTTACTCAAATGAAAACTGAACTGAACCAAACCCAATGTGTATTTGGTGAACATCAAATCCCTTCATGCACGGCATGTCATGTTTAATCAGTGCCTGGGGAGGGGGGTCAATGCCAGGTGGCCCTCCCCCAAAACTGACCCCTCTCAACATGTCCTAGCTATGCCCCAATTGCTCTGTAAACAGTCAATGGAGGTACTCCAAAACCCCTGCTCAGCCATAGAGTCTCTGACAGGTGGCCATCCAGCCCTTGCTTCAATACCTCCAGTAAAAGAAAGCCTGATCCACCTTTCAACATCTCCTACCATTAGGAAGTTTCTCTTAACATATAGTAGAATCTGTTCCCTTGCCATTTCCACCCATTCATCTAGCCTCACGATCAACACAGAGTGCTATCTACTCACTCCATCTGCTGTGTGGCCACGGCTCCATTCAGAGGATCAGATGAATACCCAGCACTTGCGTATGGTGTAACTTTTCAGCCAGCTCAGTGTACACATGGCATGCCATCTACATAGGGCTCAAACGTGCAACCCGTGAAAAACTCACATGTATGAATAGCACGTGTAAAGTTTCACAGCAATTTTATGTAGGATTTCTTTAACATGTGAAGCAGGCTAAGCTGACTTAAATCCGAGTTTAATTTGCATGTTCTTGTTGTTTTACTTTCATGGGCTGCACATTGGAATCTTAGCTCATTTTACATGCCTAAGTAGAGTGATATGGCTAGAATGGCAATGAAAATTCAGTCAAGCTCAAAAATATTCAGGGTGATGCCAGTGGGGGCAGTTGGCAAGGTATGGTCAACAAGCTCACCCACACCCTCAGTGAGTCCAGACACAAAGCTATGCCCCTGTGCTTCAGTGCTTACTTTCTCTGCAGCAGTATTTGCCGTGTTCTCTAAATCAATACACCAATCATTGGTCTTCATCAGCTGACAAAGGCTGACATTGACCTGAACAGGACAAGCGGCTTCCCATGACAAAGTTTGTGTGACAGGATTATAAATAATGTTATCCCACAGAGCCTTGGTATCTAAAAAGGAAATAAAGCATATATGAGGGAAATAAAGCAACAGTAAAAATGTACAATATATTCCCCCTGGGATTCAAGGTAATAATTTGTTCTCCAGTTGTTGCTGAGGGCCTCCTGTTATGTTGGGTAAAGGAGAAGACTGACCCTGCAGGAGAAGAGAAGAACCATGCTCACCTGTTGTTCTCGACACTACACACAGTGTGCCTAGGTGTGACCAACAATAGGCAAACTTACCTCAGGTGAATTACTCTGTGCAGTAATTCTGCTTTTCCCTATGAGATCAGATGAGCATTGCCCTCAAATACAAGCACTTGTAAATGATTTTTTACATGCACGACATCTTGAGAGCTGTCATTTGGAATCACACAATGTGGCACGATATTATGCTTTGCTACATTGTGTGCCCCCTTTGCAGTTGGCTGTATTCAGGTGTCCTGCCTGTGTGTGTTGACTTGTGGTCACCCAATCGCTGGTATAAAGATGGGCTTGCCGTATCTTCCTCTGCAGAGCTGTAGCACTGTAGGAAGTAGCCAAGACGGCTTTGGGGGGGGGGGGGTGGGGCAGGGGGCGGTAGATGGTACAATAAAACATTGTGGGGGGGAGGCGGATCTGTGTATTACTATATTGTAGTTGCTTCAAAGTTCACCATCCATTTTGACCTTACAAAGGTGGACATTAGGAATGGATGTGCTTTGACCAGAGAGCTAATCATAGAATTCTGCTGCATTATCAGACAGGGGACAGCTTATTCTCCATAGGAGTACAGTAAATAAATATAGTTTAGACCACCTCATCTTTCTTCTACAGTAGCCTGGGATCATGTGATGCAAAGAACATTTTAAGATCTTTGTTTTGTATCACACACAGGGATGCATTAGCTGTTTTATCTTTTTATCACACCAAGTTTCTCATGTGTAATGTTTCTTGCAGGGTGCCCACATGTTCAACCACACTCCATCGTCCTCAGCTAGCATGAGTAATTATTACTGGCAATGGGAATTGTAGTCCAGTAATAGTTGAGGGACCAAGGTTGCAAACCAGTGCCATAAAACAGCAGACACTGACTGTCTGGGCATTTGGGGGAATTAAAGAAACTGTAGTGATCAGCACAGCAAGAGGAATCCATAGAGGATGTGGCTAGTCCCATAGTGACTTCCATAGAGGCCTGGTAAAAGAACAATAATTCACCCAAGACACTGGCTACAAGCAGAGGAAGAGTCCGAACTCCAAGCCACAAATATGACCCCAGAGAAGCAGAACAAAATACTCATTTAAGGTTGCAAACTTATGCATGCTCACATGGAAACTCAGTGGTAACTCTTTCTTAGTAGGACTGAATGGGATTGCTTTGATCATTCCATCCATGTAAATGGAGATTGTCCCAAGTTCCATTATTATGTTTTTCTCAAACATAATAAAATGTTTTCCCTACCTTGGCCATCAGCTCAGCTAGGCTTTTACCCCTCACAAATAGATGAAAGAGGAAGTAGGGGAGATAGAGGAAGGCTAGGGCTGGGAGGAGGTGAGAAAAGATGGAGGAATCGTTACAGGCTTGGAGAGAGGTGGAAATAGCATTGCAAAGGGGAAGCAGGAAAAACAAGGATGGAGGCTACTTGGGATGGGGCAACGAGGTAAAGAGGTGTGAGGAGGGGGGACATAGTGAGGCTAGAGGCTAAGAGAGGAAAGAGAGATAGAGCAAAACAGGAAAGGTCCATGGGCAGAAAAAGATTGGATAGAGCCAGGAATCATCTTGTTCCTTTTCTTCCTGCTTGCCTAACTGCTGTTCATCAATAGGTTTCAGAAAAATGAAGGAAAGCCTAGTGGTTTACTTTTTTCCAGAGTTTTTTTTTAATTAAAAGAAATGGAGGCAGCATGGCATAGGGAACTTTGCAGGCACTGTCAGGGACTTCTCCCATTGTAGACAGAAGGTGCAAAACGTTGAAAACCAGCTTAACCAAAGACCCAGGAAATGGGATTTTACTGTCTTCCCATAGCAGTGCACAGTTGCCATTCACTCTTCAGGAAAAAAGCAAAGTGCTTTCTGAAAATCCCATGAGGGTAGGGATAAACCTCTTCCCCTCAGCCACTGATATGCCAAACCTTTGACAACAGCCCCTATAGTTGTCTGCCCACCCTGCTGGAATTATATAGGGGATGTAATGCGTATGTATCACCTTTCAAGCATGACATCCCTCTAGTTATATGACAGCTTTGGCTGGAAAAATAACCAAAGAAATACTATGGAACTCTCTGCCATGGGCCTGAGATTCACACACGACTGAGTGTCAGAGTTGATGCATTTTCTCATCACATCTGGCCTTCACCACATTATAGAGTCTATCTTCCAGCCTCTTCACTCCATGTACAAGGAAGGGAATGAAATATGGGAAACAAGTTTCATTTCTCATCATATATAACTGCACTTCTCCAAATGGTGACACGATTGAAGGCTGACTTCAGTAGAAAAGGTGGGTGTAGAGAAAAAGAGATACCATGAGCTAGAATGCTACGAATTCTGGGTCAAGAACAAGACCCGATGAGTGTATTTCCCAAAAAGATAACTTTCCATGATTAGACAGGTTAGCCATTCTAAATACTCATCCATGAAATACTGCTACCTTTTTATACCATCTACTACTACTATCACTACTACTATACATTTAGTAGTACCAGTAATGTGCTAGATATCATCCTTAATGAACATATGCAAATTTATGCATTTATGTACCTATGGCAAAGAAAGCTATGTATCTCACTTATTTATCATCATGTTTGTAGGTACTAGGCCCACTTCTTCAAAAATGTAGCCTTCGAAGGTTGTCGTCTCAGATTTTGAATCAGAAGTGGAAGAAGATGCAGAACTAGAATTCTTGACTAAAATGCCAGTGCCAGTTGAGCTTGTTGAGTTGAATGGGGCTCAAGTTAAAGTTATTAGTCCAGTGTTTTGGCATCAGATTAAAAGGGCAGACGAATTGAGCAATTATTACACTACACTTCTATACCACCTGCAGTCAAAGCTCTCTGAGCCGTTCACAACATTTTAAGTCACCCATCCAGATTTCAGCCTGACCCTGCTTAGTTTCCGAGATTAGGCAGGATCAGGCACTGAAGGCTAGAGGGAAGCTACAGATATATACAGCTACATAAAGTTAGAGGGAAGCTACAGGTATATACAGCTACATAAAGTTAGAGGGAAGCTACAGATATATACAGCTACATAAAGTTAATGTCAGATATTCTCTATGATTAGACCACAAGCAAGATGCACCACCCTGAAGGTGGTGATAGCCCTTTTGCTTGGGAAAGGAGGATGAAAGCTATTCAGTATGGAATCCACTTTATATTATTAAGCTACATTTCCCTAGTAGCTAGTATTCTAATTGTGCTTGTTTGTTTCTTCACTGAATTCTGCAATACTTGTTTTTGTATCACAAAGCCAGCTAACTAGTCAGCTTTAATATGAAGACTTTTGTTAGAAAGATTTTTGTCCTGATCTGCTTAGAAGGAGTTGTGTGGGAGAAGACTTGTACTCAGCAAAGTCTCCCCTCAACTCACACATGCTCGTCCAAGCTGTTCCCCTACAAATAGTACATTTTGTTCTCCTCTTATAAGCATATAGATTAGGAATAGCAATTTAGCTATCACACATGAAATCCATTTAGACAAGTGGCCCTTGGGAGCTGTTAATAGATATAAGAGAAGCTGAAAAGAGATATCTGCAAAATGCCATTGTTTCTGAATCGTTAGCGTACTATTGTATTCACAAAATATGTGCAAAAGAAGCACTTATTTTTTTGGACCAGATTTTTGTAGGGTGGGGGGCACAGTGTTAGAAGGGATTGCAAACAGTGTCTGGCAAACAAAGTACGGTATTTGAATAATATTTGCAAAAACCGCAGTGGTACTGGCCTCGTAAAACTCTATATTTTAAAATAGGACACACCATAGTTTCCTTTTGTTTTTCAAATGCAGCTGCTGAATACAGTCCAAGAAAAAATATTTCTTGGCAGAAATTGTTTCTGGGTCCTTCCCATCAGCACCTAATGATGGGGCCTGATTCTACTTGATGGTTCCAGATTGAATAGAAAGAAAGTACACTCATTCCCTTGACATTGTATATGCACGGAAAAAGTCCAATGCCAAGCATGTTTTTTCAAAGAAATGTCATACTAAGACTTGCTTCATTGTGAGATTTCAGATCCTGTCCTGTCATTGACTTAAATGAGATGTCACCTTTTACATTTTGTGTGCATCCTTCACTCTGTAATGTGGCACAGCAAACACAAATGTTTCTAGATATGCACCTTGCAGTGACTTGCAGGGGAAGTCTGAATTGACTGTGGCTCTTTGCCAGAACTACAGAGAGAAGCAAAATTGCATTTGTCACAGAAGGTATGAAAGCAGAGGCTTCAGGGCAAACCTGCATGTGCAGGGATAGCATTCCTCTGATGGAAGCAGTTCCATCAGTGAAGTGTGTATCCTCCAACTCTACTCAGGAAGTCTGCCAAAACCTCGAAACAACACGAAGAATTGCAGTAGGAAGGAAAGAGGGAGTGAGTCCCATTGTGGCATCGCAATGCCAGACATCTGCTGGTGTGGCACTGCATGCAACCCATTATATGGAGTTCCAGTATAGCTTATCAGGGTCAGTGGCACATAAAGAAGATCAGAATTGGGGCGTTTACAGTCTCAGTACCTAGCTTCTCACCTGCTGTGCTGAGCTAATATTTTAGGTAACATTCAGATACACATCAGTAGCAAAATCTGACTGAGGAGCTAAAGAAATAACCCCTGTTTCTTAAAGTAAATAGGACTACCTGTATTCTTATCATTCCCACCCCCTCAGCAAGCATTTCTGAAACAGAACTGCAACCATTCAAACAATCAAGAAGCGTGTGTCACTTGCCATTCTTGAATGGGCATGATCGCATTCTCCTTGCATCTGAAACTGCTGGCCAGGCCTGCAAACCAAACATGCATCGATTAGTTCATTGTCTTCCCCAAATGATGTATTCTCCATAGGTCCTCTCTTTGCTCAGTATTGGACCTCCTGAGGACAAGCTCTACAGTGTTGGGAGGGCAACGTGTGCCCCTCCAGAATTTTGACTTACAAACTCCATCAACCTTAGCCACCATGGCCAATGGTGAGCAATGAAGGGAGCTGCAGGCCAAAACAACTGGAGGGATCACCCACTCCAGCTCCACAGGGCAAGATTCCTTTGGAGCAAAGAGCACTGGAGTGACCTTACATACCTGCATAATAAATCTGATAGACAGAATGTCCTGGCCTCTTTAAAAGAGGTTATAATTAGGGCACTTTTAAGGAAAAAAATCAGCCCCAGAGCTGGAAAATGTAAACAGGAATAGGCCAGTTGCAAATGTTAAGAATGATGGTTGTGAGCCAACTCCAACTTTCAATCCCATTTGAAAGCCAGCCAGAGCAGTGGCCATCATTGCATCTTGTGGACATGAATTCCATAGTTTATCTGGTTCGGTTTATCTGCCCTGAATCTTCCACCAATCAGCTTCCTGAGATGATCCCAATTTCTAGTATTATGAAAGAGGGGGAAGATATCTCCCTATCCACTTTCTCTACATCATGCATAATTCTGTACACGTCTATCCTATCTCCCCTTAAATATAAAATAGCTTAATGAACCCAAAAATAAAAAGTAGTCAACACATACTTTAAGACAAACATACAATGAAATTAAAATTAATCTAGAATGGAATTAAATTGTCTTCACTTCCTAGGTAAAGGCAATTGCCATAATGAGGCTAAGCATGCTTTTGCGGAGGCCCAATCCACATTTTCTTCCCATTATGTGGAGCTCATCTGAAGATCAGATCTGCCACTTATATTGCACACAGATTTTGAAATAATTCTAATATGCATGAAAAGAGCATTATGCTAATGGGCAGTTTTTTATACAGATTTAATAAATAAACTAATAAAATAATAGAATTGTTCTTCAGGACTCAGGGTTTTTGCCCTCTGACTGAAATATTGGTGCTTTCGTTAGATGCCAAACTTTAAGACTGGCCACATAATCAAACCATGTTGAAACATTTACCTCAATGCACAGACATGACAGCAGCTGAGTATATGGTAGAGAGACTGATTTCACCAAGTCCTTACCTTGAACCTAAAATGAGAAAACATCAGTCTAGCATAACTGCACGGTTCTGCATTTCTGTGAGTCGTGTTTCCTAAAGCTCCATGTGACTTCCTCTTTCAGGGCTGTTCTAAGACATTTTGTTGCCTGAGGCAAAGGACAAAGTGGTGTTCCCCTATTCCATGTGCAGCAACCAACTAAATTGGCAATTCAGTACTGATGCGGGGTGTCCTCTTTGACCATGTCTGATGGTCTCAGGCTAACATAGCCAGCACAGGCTAGGACCATGGGGCATACACTGATGTCACCGCCAACAGATGGGAAGGCCTTGGGAAGGATCGCCAAGCTGCTGCTGCTCAAGATGGTTGTCCAAGTGCTACTTTCTTAGTGCATTCAAAGCTTTCTAAGCTTACTTTTGCAAAAGCCCATGGTTAGCTGAGCATCACAGCAAAGCAACACAGTAGCACTGATACTGTCTTCTGACTGACGCTGGATAAGCCTGCCCGTGACTTTTCATTCAGTCTAAAGTGAAGAAATGCAATCTTTTAATTATGTGGATGACAGAGCTTTGGCAAGTGCAACCTCTCGTGCCAGGTTAGGAACACCCATATTTGCTGCAACCCTTAAGGGAACATCTACTTAGGTTTACTTCCCTTATTTAGGACAGTACAAAGAAGGGTAAAAACAGAAAGTACTGAGTCCAATATAAACTGACAATTAACAAAGATCAAGCCAATGTTTGTTGTCATAAGAACTCCCACTCATATTCCCTAACATACCATCTCTGATTCTGGAAGCACAATACATAGTGTATTTGCATTGACTAGTAGGTATTGGTATTTGTATTGACTAGTAGGTATTGATAGCCTTACCCTCCTTTAAAAACCAACCAAATTGGCAGCTATCATTGCATCAACGTGCACCACATTTGGCAAAAAGCAGCACTGATGGACCTGTATTATCAACAAATGCTAGTGTGCCAACCCAACATCCTGGGTTATCCAAGGGTTCAGATGCAATGTGGCTTGTTGTGACATTGTGAAGTGACATAGCTGACCCTTCAGGCAACCCTATGTTATTGTTTGTGCTTAGGCTTTGATCTGATTCTTCCCCACCCTTGTGAACCCCACATTTTAAATTACAACAATGACATTTGTCATGCCTCCTGGGGCTGATGGGCATTATCCCCCAAAATAACTGGAGGGCATCAGAGCAGGAAAGGCTGATTTAGAAGGTTTTCAATCTGGCCCTCAGGACAAATTCTTCCAAGAAACCCAAGAGAACTGGGGAGGAAAAAGGCATGTATTTCTGTCCAGTCTGGAACAAGCTGGAAAATGGGATGAAGACCTTTGCCTGACTTTAATATTGTAAAGAACTCCATATTGTTCTGCTGGGTGAATTGTTTTCATGAAAGATTTTCAGATTCTTACCAAGGTGACGGGGCCTTCATCTTCACACACAAACCATTCACGACATAAGCGAATGTAATAGTCTGTGCCTTGAACAACCTCTGAGATATCCACTGAAATTAGTTTTCTTGTTCTGTCCACATCAAAGGCCATTTTGCCAGCTGAAATTTTTAAAAAAGCTAATTATTTAATCAAAGGCGTCTGCTTACCTGACCAAGGACTATTATGTTGATATTAATCAAAAGGATTAAAGACCTGAAATTCCACAGCCCGTTTGAATGTTGTCTGTATTTAGTTTCCACTAGCATGAGCATCATATAGGTTGCAATCCTATGCAAAGCCACAGTGGAACTTCTGAGTAAACATGCACAGGCTTGCATTGCTAATTGTCAGCTTTCTTACCTAGATATCATGTCCACGAAATTGTAGGTGAAAGGTGTCTGGCAGAGCAACCCTGGGCAAAGCTGCACCAAAGTAAGCCTCCCATAATTCAGTGGACCTTACTCTCTAGGAAGTGTGCTGAGGATTGCACCCTTCTTAATAAAACTGTGATAGGATATAGGATCTAAATTCTTTCCTAGCATTTCTAGGAGCATCTTCTTTAATGGAGTTTCTCCTTCCTCGGCTAATGAAATTATGCACCAAAACAAACATCCTTAGGATTGCCCACTGCAGGACAGTTCAAGGGACCAATCTGGGAAGACTGATGCACATAAGGAGAAGCAACATCACATCAAAAAGGTCTGCTTCCTTTATGTAGGTCTTTGTGCATCCTCAACCACATGTTCAGAATCTGCACGCAGGGCACTTTACAAATACCACATAGTGTCTGCCCCGACAATCAAATTAATAGGTACAGAAAAGGAGCAGGGCTTGGTGCCAGAGCCTCATTCCCACCTGCACTATGTGCAATTAGTTTTCCCAGGCTGATTGAGGGAATGGAGCTAGTGGAAGTCAAGAGAGCTGGGTGTAGATGAAGCCCTCTAGGTGTCACCTTCTAGCTGGGTGTAGATGAAGCCCTCTAGGTGCCACTAGGTGAAGCACTCAGCCATTCAGAACCCTTCCCCATTAGATGGCACACCAGTGTTGGAGACCAGCCAACCTTGGGCTGAAAGGTACCAGCACAGGCTCAAACCAGGCAAGCTAGCAGAAGACACAAGCACCTTCCTCTATATTCCAGAAGGCCTTGCTGCTCTGCAGTGACCCACCTGGATGGTAGGCTAACCAATTAGGGTTAAATGACATCTCCGTTAAGTATGTAATGTGCTAGTGACTCTCCCCATTTTTGACCCTGGAGTAAATATGTGGGCCCCCAATTTGGATCCGGACCACTGTGCACAGGAAGGGAAAGTGTAACCCTTCCTACACAGCCCTTTTCTTCCCCTAACTTCTCTCTCTCACGGAGACTAAAACAAAAAGAAAGAAAATCTTCATTGGTGCCAACCCTGTGGTTCAGGTCTGGATCAATGCCTTCCATGCTTACTTCAAGATTTAAAAAAAAATCAGAATCAGTTGCACACTACACCTTTATCATGGCATTTAGTTTTCCCTTTTCTGAAAAGGGAAACCAGGAGAAAGCCAAACTATAAAGCTTGATATATCTGGGGGGATTGGAGGATCAAACCTTGCCAATGTGGGTTATGCTCAGAAACAGCATTTACCTGGACTTCTGTCAAAGACAGTAATAGGGTTTTATTTTACCAGTGATGGGATCCAAATATTTTGGGTAAGCAAGGGATAGGAAGACAACCTAGTTTAAGAACAGCAGCAAATTCAATTTACCAAAGCATACATTACTATCCCCAATTAGCTGGAAGCAGCAACTATCAGTTTGATTAGTAGAATTCAGAAACTACAGCACTGTTCTGCATGCAATGTGTGTAATTTAGGCCTTGTGGACCTCAAGCTTACCGAAACAGGCTGGAATGCTTTTCTCTACATCACCATTTCTGCAATCTGCAAAATATAAAATAGATTGTTCATCTTGGTTATTTTCTTGAGACACCTTTCAGTCTATACTCTTGAGGCCTGGCCACATGCCAGTTGAAAACCTTTAGTAGCAGACAGGTTAGCATCTACAATGAGATTGGAATCCTGGTGTCCCCCAGATATTTTGGACTACAACTTCCATCAGCCCCAGGCAGCTTTGCATTCCAAAAGATCTGGAGGACTCCACACATTGCATTCATTGTCTAAAGTCCTACCTATTTCAATCTGTCTGCTCTAAGTAGCAGTAACATTGATCAAATCCTAGTTGTCTATTCATGGCTCAAATGCAAATGTGATACCAGTTGTGGCTGGAACTTGAGCTATAAATAGCCTACCATCTTCTTTAGTCTGGTTGGAAATCAAGAAGGGGAACTATTTTTCCCATTCTGATTCATAACTTCATAGAATAGTAGAGTCCGAAGTCATTGGGTCTAACTCCCTGCTCACTGCAGGACTCCAAGTTAAACCACCCTTCTTAGATGGCTGTCCAAGTTGCATCCTTAATGCCTCCAGGATGCCTACCACCTCCCCAGGTAATTGGCCCCACTGTAGTATTGTTCTAACAATCAAGAAGTCTTTTCCCGATGTTCAACTGGAATTTGGCTTTCTATAACTTATTATTCCATGTCCTGAACTCTGGCACTCTTCTGGACCTTCTCTGTTTTCAAGTGCATAAAGAAAGCAAATGTGTAGTTACAAAATGAGGCCTAATCCAGTGCTGAATAGAGGGAACTAGCACTTCACATGAATTGCAAATGATCCGTCACTTAATGCTGCTCTTTCTGCAACCACATCCCTTTGTTGAAACATATTCAGCTTGGGGTCTGCAGCAGTTCCAGGATCCTTCTCACTAGTTATATTGTAAATATACATTTGATTTCTCTGTGCACGCTTCCAGTGTGTGTGTATAGAGGGAGTGGAGAGAATAGAACTGCTTCACCTTATTTAATCCCATTGTGAAATGCACTGTCCAACTTTGATGACAATCAACTTCTGTGTGTGTCTCTTCCAAACGTATATTGCTTGTTTTGGAAACTGATATTTGCCCTTAGGCACATTTGAAATAATTCCTGAAATTATTTCCTCAGCCCTAATAATTATGAAAATCACTATTATTTCCCAGACTGTTTCTAATCCATTGTACTTTTACAGGATCTCACTGCCTGTGCTTCATACATTCTCATGTACATGCTGAGCCTCACAAAGACATCCATTCTCTTCTGTGAGCATGTAATACACCTTAGATAAAAGAATCTAGGAAATCTGCAGACAATGCACAGTGGCCTTCTAAAAGCATTCCTTTACCCTCAGCCACATGGGGCTAGTTACTTCCTGACTGTCAGGGCAGTATGACAAGAGAACCAATTATCTAGGCAGGTTGTGGTTTCTTCCACACTGGAGGCATTCAAAATGCAGATTAAAGTCACGGAGCTTGGGTAAGACAACTAATAAAATGCACTGTCCCAAATTTGCCACTTAATATGTGGCTCTTGGACCATTTCGCTATCTTATTAAACTCAGAAAGTCTATGCATATTCCACTTTCTGGATCATAGCAATCAATTGATTCTACGTAAAGCAAACTTGGCACAAAGGAAATGACCAATTTCCTGGTTAATTGGTCATTTATTTTAGCAACCCCCACCAAGACCATCACTTGAGAGCCAGTGTGGTGCAGTGGTTAAGAACTTGGGACTGGGACTTGGGTGGTCTGGGTTCTAGTCCACCTTGGCCATGGTGCCAACTGGGTGACTTTGGGCCAGTCACTCTTAGGGTTGTTGTTGTGAGGATAAAATTGAGAGGAGGAGGGGAATTATGTGGACTGCCTTGGGTTCCTTAGAAGGAAAATAGGCAGGATATAAATATAATAAATAAATAAGTTTATCTAAACAGAGATTCCTACCTTCAACATAATATTCTTGATTCATTTTAACACTGCAGTAATTTGGAATTGTCCTCATGGTCACATGGAGATGTTGCCCTGCACTGACTTCAAAGCAATTAAACTGCACTTTCACCTGTTTGAAATACATACAGAAAATGGAAGAAATTGTAGGTGATCACAAGATAATGTGGGAGTTGACAAAATGAGAACAAGTTATATATTGGTGGTTCTGATTTGTTCTACCAGAGAAGCAAACTGGCAGGTTTTGGGGAGGTGTTTCCAAGCACTTGCATGTGATGTTCCCCAATTCCAAATGCTGTTCCATTTCAAGAATTGCATAAATAAAATACCACCTTTGGACCCATCATATTTTGACAATTATGCTGATTGAGTGATCCCTTGTTGCTTTACTGGAAGTTCTTCAAAATAGTTTTTTAAAATATTGATACATTATACCAGGGGAAACCTGCAACATTCAACAAAGGCCTACAGATGATTCAGTATTTGTGCAAAGTAATGACTGATTCAAGGCTTCCAAAGAAAGCTCATTTGAACAATTGAAATTAGAGGGTTACGCAGTTTTTTTGGGCTAGTGTGCGGAAATATTTGATAACTGAAGAATACGTAATTATACCTGGACCTGATAAACAGATTTTACATTTTCAAGCATTAATGGGCAGAGAAATAATTAATAATAATCATACTTTCACATGGTGTGCTATTATAAAAATTAAAAGTCTAAATTGCAAACTACTTGCAGAACCTCAGTTTCCCACAGTTAAGGACAGATTCTACAAAACTTAGTTTGCAGAAGATATGCTTGTTTAACCAAAGCTCTCTGGGCATCTCACAACTATGTAAAACAATTTAAAATATAAAATGCAGTATAAAAATTAAATGGTCAAAACAACATTATTAAATACAATTAAACTACCATGAGTAAGACCATGCCACATGCTTATTTGGGACCCAAGTAAAATAATATTCCTGAAAGAGAAGATGCACATTATCTGCTCTTCTGTCCATGGTATGATTCTCCCAGGACAAGATTTATATCTTATTATGTGTTGTGAAATGCAAGATGGTGAACAAATGATACAGTGGCAAAGTTACTTGGATGTATATTAATATAGGTTGTACTATTTGTGACACTAGCTAAGAAAATTTGGAAGTAGTAATGGACTCCAAAGCTGATTCTTTCACTTGAGAAGCGGCCAAATCGATTTTGGGATGCTTTTATGAAAGATGTATTTTAGTTATGGCTTTCATGTTAAGAGAATTAAGATGCCCACATTCTTATGGTTATGTTCTAGATATTGTTACCTTTGTGCAGTTTGTAAGAGCCTATAGCTATAAACATTTTCTGCATGTGATCGTTTGTGAATACAGGGGCTCCCATATGCTCAGAGCAGTCTCCCATCTACAGTGTGTCATATAATGAGAAGACAGTCCTAACTTCTCTGTTGAAGTGAATGACACTGCTCAATCTGAATTCATGTCACAGAATACGCAGAGATTTGGAATATAATGAATGAAGACCAGTTGCTGACGTCAATTGTAAATGTCCCATTGATACTAATGAATCAGAAGGGTTGAGCAGTGACTGAGAACTCCTTCCAGCCAGAGGCTAAAATAGATCTTGGGGGATTTCTTTAGGGCTGCATTCCAGTGGCGACAGGGCATGGCCAAAGGCATAAGGGGTGGGTCCAAGGTTACCATTACCACGAGCACAGTTTAACTTAAATTTCTTAGTGCCAGTAGCGAAGCATTAGGAGTGACATTTCAGCATTTTAGAATGGGGGAAGCACAAGAGAGCAAACCTATGTCCCCTGAGCATCATCTGGGGGTCTATAGGATACTTCAAATTCCCTGATCCTAGAGACAGAGCACTAATGCCAGAGCTTGAAATCTATGCTCTGGCCACCCCCATGTGCACCCATGGCTGGCACAGGGAGAACCAGGCCTGCTGCTTCTCCAAGGTCAGGAACTTACATTTGGAGAGGGGTAAAGGAGGCATCCCAGTAGGTAGGGAGCAGGAGAGACTGTAGAGCTCAGGTTACAATGTGCCCTGTGTCCTCTGTAGCCTCTTGCCCCTCCTCTCCAAACCATCTCAGCTAGACAGCCAAAAGTAGCTGCACAGAGCAAATGCAAAGTGGGAGGCACAGGGAGGCAAAGATCACCTGCACTGCACTTCTCATGCTACACTGGATGACTGACAAAGGTCCTACTCATCTCCATTGGATTGCATCAAAAAACACCAAATGTTTATGTGCGGGGAGGGGGGAAGAATCATGGAAAAGTGAACAGGGGTGGAAAAAGTAGATATGGTCATCTGGGATCCCCAGGAGAGCCAGATTTGGCCACAGACTGAAGGTTCCTCACCCCTCTATCAGAGAAATTTTTGAAGATTGGTGCTGGGAATGAAAGAGGCAGCTATTCTAGGGGTGCTCTCCGTGGTCAGGGTGGCACCGACTCGTCAGATGTGTACTGGGAGGCCCTGAAAGTGAGGACAACAGACACAGAGATGGTGCAGGCGGAAGAGCTTATCTCAAGATCACCATCTCTAGGTGTTCAGGCAGATCTTGGGAAGTGCAGGAATGGCACATGGGAGAAGAGAATGAGGAGCCTGGCCTGATGCTTTACCCCATGACGCAGCATGGGAGAGAAGGGCTAGCCAGTTACAGGGCCTGCATGGATCCAAAAGGCTAGCCCTTCTCCAGAGGGGCACACCCAGATGGGTGGAGTCCAGGGTTACTGAAAAGGAGGGCCCCTGGAAATACTTTCCAGTACGGATTCAACAAACCACTCTGTGCATGCTCAGAAACTCTTCTCTTGGCTATTACCTTGCTGCCTGAGCATTAGAAATAAAGTGCTTTTTGCCATAGAACTGTCTACTGTTTGAGAGGAAGAAGGGGGAAAACCCAGTTCCCAACAGATGGACTGCGCATACACATATACATCTCTGCCTAGGCATGGCTCTCCCTGAACACACTGAGATTTACTTCCAAGTAAACATGCATAGGATTGTGCTAGATGCGATCTTGTTCCTGATTTAGCTGTGTTTACAGGAAAGTGACTTCACTGTTGGCCTTGGATGTGGGCAACGTTCCCCGCATGTGTCACACAATTCAGCGGGGCCCAGATGTGCATCACGTTGCAGACATGCCTTCAGGGGCACAGCTGCATCCATGTGGGCAACGCGGTGTGTGCAGAGGGCGGCTTCCTTGGGTAAACTTCCTCGTTGCACTGGAGCAAAGATCAAAACCCTGCCCACAAATCAGCCCAACACTCAATGGCTCAAAAGAATGTCAGCTTTTCCACAAAACAAGTTTCATTAAAAAATAAAAATAGATCGTTGCTCAACGCACATTGTCAGATCCAAATTTCCAAGAATGGGAGATTTGTTGGCACTGCCACGGAATGATGCATAAGGGACACTTGCAATGCTCTGCAGAGGTCCGAAGTGAGCAGTTTCTCATGAAGTCTGAGTGTGGTTTCAAGGCATCTGGAAATTGTGGCATGAAATAGCCTGATCCCACACACATGCTCACATAGTCATGATGATGATGGCAGAAGATCGATGCATGCATAAACCACATCATCCTTCTGAGACAGACATTTATCAGTCAACAAATGTGGTCACAGTTCAAATCCAAGGCCAGTTCCTCTTTTATCAGAGCTGTGGGTTGCATTTCAGATCATTTCCACCACAGGTTTCTTCATTCTCCCCAGAATGCCCCATCCCTGATTTCCCAAGCCACACATGTGCCCAGCAATGCCTATGAGTGAAGCAAGCTTTGGCAAGGAAGAGCCAGCAAACATAAGGGAAGCATTTGGCTATCTGCAATCCTTCTTCTTGGGCCTTCCTGCCACCACCAGCCACCACTGGGTTCATCTGTGGCTTCAGAAGCACCTAGACAGAAAACATGTGGGGCAGCGAAAGCAACAGTTTGCAAGGAAGAAGCACCCTTCCCCATGTTGAGCGCCCCTCCCCATTCACTTCCACAAATGCAACCTTGGTGTTATAAAGGAAAGGAGAGGTTGGGTATCTTCTGTTTACCTTGGAAGGTGAAGTTCTGACCGAAGGTGCCTAGAGGGAGACACATTTGAACCTGTGTCTTGCACTGCACTTCTTGGTCCTCCACCAGCCTGCCCCAATCTCATGCTGTTTAGATATTTTGGAACACAGTCCCCATCATCCCCAGACAGCACGGACACTGGGGATCATGGTTGCCGTAGTCCTATAACTGACTCTGTTATAGCTACTATTGCTGTAGCACTGACTCCCGCTATATCTTACCATCTGTGTAAAACTAGAAGTTTACTTTTCCCTAAAATCTGAAAGCTGTAATGATTCAAAACAGCAGAATGAAACATTTACCTTCCTTCCAGCAAGTTTTACAGGCACCTGCCGAGAAATCTTCACATTCACACACTGTGAGCTCTGAGTGTCCATTGAGAGAGAACAAATTTCCATTCCATGGATATTTCCTGTAAATAATTGGGAAACACCTATGAGTTTTACAACATACTACCATTTTCAAAGGATCAAGGATAGCTGCATATGGGGGAATGGACTAGCCATATCTAATAGAACATGGAGAAAGAGAAAATGAACCTTGGGAATTTTAAAAAAATAGCTACTCCATTTCCCAGGGACAAAGATATGGTAAGCATCCCCAAAATTCACGACTTCTATCTGACAAGTAAAACATCCCCTCACTCAACACCTTTTAATTCTGCTTCGCTGAGCTGAAAATATGTTCATGGCTCTGTGCTTACTTTTTGGGCCAAGATATGGTCTGATCCGAGGATTCTCAGTCAGTACCAATCAGTGGACCATTATCAATCCCTTCTGTCCACCTTCTCTTCCTTGACTCCACAGAATAAAGGCAGCACTATCACCCCTTGGAAACTCTTCCACTGGATATCTGAGAGAAGCTCTACTACTTGCACTGAACTTGGGAATCTAGCTTCATGCCCGTTCAATATGGACTATGTAGAGCTATCTTGCATATTTTCTTTTCTATTGGTACATATCTCTAGGCCCTCTTTCCTCTATTGTTCAAAAAAAAATTTCCTAACTAGAATCCATGGAATCCTACTTTATGCATAAAGTAGGCATATTCTTTCTCCAGGCATATTCTTCCACAGTAATGGGGTGAAGTTCACTCAACAGACTTTGGGAATTCTCATCGCAAGCAAACTTTCCACATGTATGGGGCTGGAAAGTAACTGAAGAGTTAGTGGGAACTATTTTTGCATTTATTTGGATAGAAGGTATAGGGAGACCTGATGGGGGAGAAATACCACCTTTAGCATAGGAACACAGGAAGCCCCTTTATATGGAGAGCTTACCAGCAGTGGCTCCACACATGGTAGTGAGCAGAAGATTGGGGTCCAAACACTACTGATGGGGAAGCAGCCAAGGGCCACATGTAAATTAGGTCTTGCTCAGTTGTGGTCTACATGGATGGACAACGGCCCACAAAAGTCTATCCAGCTCTATCTGGAGCTGCTCAGGAATGAACCTGGGACTTCCTGTATAGGCTGGAGCACTGAGCCACAGGCCCTTGCCATTGGCCAGATCCCAGGCTGAATCTTCTGACTTACCACCAAGATGCAGCGTCCCCTTAACACTCAAGTGAAGAGAACATTCATTTTGTCCTACACACTTCATTGCAGTCCAGAGCTTCATATTTCTCAGGGTGCTGGGAGCAAGAGAAGGTGCAGCATGATGGCAGAAACTGTTAAAAATATCAGCTGTGGAGGTCAAAGAAGAAGAAGCATGTGTGAATGTGAACAATGCAGCTCAGCTAGCCAAATGAAAGCTTTTGAGGAACACTCCCCACAGATGGTGCGAAACACTCTGCTCAGACGGCAATCATCCTGCAGTCCCACATCCTCCAGCTGCAACACATACCAGGCATGCCTCCTGCCAGCTGTGCATTCAGCCAGCACATGAAGGAAGCCCATGCACATATTCTGCGTGGGAATCTGGGCCACCAGGACTCGCTCGCAGTTGGAGGCCCTTCACACATATAGGCAAGAATGTGCTTGGAGCTGCTTCACACAGGCTGGCTGAACATAACGCCAACAGGGGAGAAGGCTGGTGCACATGTTTGCAGCAGGGAATGCTGGAACAAAGGCCCTCTGTTTCCACTCTTGCCACAAGCCCAGGATGAGCAAAGCCACATAGCCTCCAAAAGTCACACACACACAGGCAACAGAGGTACTGACAGAGCACCAACTTGCGAAAGCATGAAGAAGCAAGAAGTGCAGGCCCCAGGTTTCTGAAGGTCCTCAGGCAAAACAACTTCAACAGATTCCTCCCCTAGTCAGTCTCCCTGTTGGGAGTGTGAAAGAGGAGAAGGAGGTGCCACTCCCACCATGATGTGGGTCTGAGCAAGAGGCAGATGAGCATGCAGCTTGCGATGGTGAAGAGAAGGAACTGCTCTAGAGGGCCTTCAAAAGTGGGTTCCTGCTGGAAAATGGGCATTTGGCATGTCCCTGCCCTCAACACCAGCCCTGAAAGTCAATCCAACTACATGCTACAGGGCTGAGGAAGAAAGTTCTTCAGGCAAAACCAGCAGATGCTCATAAGGATGCTGTTGAAAGAGCATCCATGCTGAGCTTGCCCTCCGGCCCCTAATGCTTCATTATAACTTATTGATACACTCTAGGTATCACTTACTGCTAGAAGCATGCCATCATTGCCTTGCACAATTTCCTGCTCACGTGGAACATCACTGGCTGCCCCGGCAGATGCCAGAAACTGTACAAGGCGATGACAGCGTGTTTCTATCAGTAAATCATACCTAGATTATATCAATAATTTATAACTAAACATTAAGGGCTGGAGGGCAAGCTCATCATGGGAAAAATGTTCAAGGTTACAGGGAAGGGAAGAACTGCGGAATACAGGCCTGCTCTTTTTGGCAGCAACCCCCTGAAATGCTCTGTCATTGGCTCCACCCTAGTGGAGAATTAGCTAGGGCCACTTAAGACAACCAGAAGAATTCAATGCTAAAACATGTCCAGATATTTTGGACTACAACTCCCAGTATCCCCAGCCATTGGCCATTCTGGATCTGCTCTTTCTCGCTCCCTCCCTCTCACTCTCTCATACTCTGAGATCTAGTATAAGAATAATGGGTTTTAGGTCTTTGTTCGAGTGCTCAAACTGTGCTTCCACCCATGTTCCACTTCTACATGTGTAAATCAAAGGCAAATATTAGAGAATACCAGTAAGCCCCTGGGGACCTCCTTTCTAAAGGAAGCCAAGCATGGGTAAGATCTGAAGTCTTTTCACCACTTGGAGGAATGGGGTGAGCACAAAATAGAGGGAAATGACAAACAGACTAGCAAAGAGAAATGACTTACGGAGACTAGGTGTCCAAGGCCAGCCTGCTTGCTATATTTGCATTTGCTAAGGAACAAGTACTTTGAGACAAGTGCAAGATCAGCTCTAGAAACAAACATGGCTAACTTTGGATGACTTAATTGCAATGAAGTCAATAACTTAACTGCCCAACTTAACTGCAATTAGCCAGTCTGCTACCTGAAATGACTTCTTTAACTGTAATCGTTCATAGCAAATTGCTCAGCTAGCAGCCGAAGGTCAGATTCCTCCACCACTATTATATTTAATAGAAATATAGCCACAATGTATTATTTTTGCCAACCCTATTTTTCCCGCCATGCCCACACAGAACTGGGATCAAGTAGATCTAGAAGGACTGAAATTGATAGGACAACAAGGACAAGGTCCTATGCTTAGATAGAGGATGTCTGCCAATTCCCAGCATATCCCAATGAGTTTCAGGATCCCCCTCTATCTGCAGAGAGACCTTTGTTTTCACCTGTGGTGAGTCAGTCCCAGCTCCAGGTTTCTGAGGTCCTCTCCCCATCCCTTGGAAGAGATCTTCTTACCACCTTGGTCATCAACTGCTTAGTCTCACCATCGCCACCACATGTGTGCTTGACCCACAGAGAGCCATTGAGCAAGTAGGCAGAAACATCTCCTGCTCCTTTGTCTTAGCACAGCTGGTGTTGCGGCCAAAGCACATGGCAATGATGAAGCTGAGAGGCAGCTCCTGTCCAGGAGCCCCTCCTGCAGTGTGGGCCATCAGCAGCTTTTGACAATATATTCTTTAAAGGAGAAACGCTGCAGGGGGTGAGTCTCAGGGATCTTTCAAGTCTGGGCATTTATTTGGATAGTCTGCTTTCTAGAATGTAAGAACAATGAAAGCATTATACTTACTTGATGGTTCTGTTTTGCAAAGAAATCCCTGGAGGAAAAAAATATAAAGGCTATTAATTAAAATGTTGTATCTAAAGAATAATGAGATTCTAAAACAAAGAAGTGACTATTCATTATAAATTTAAAAGCAAGATTCATACATTAACATCAAGGCAGTTCAGTGTAATGCTCCGCTGCTATAACATATGGTAGAATGATTACTCATCGTAATTCAGTTGTGGTCCACAGCTTGAATAAAAACCATAGTTAAAGGCATATACACCAGCTGGTTTTGATTCTGGGGGAGCAGATACTGGTGGGAGCATCATAATGGGACAACCTGAAATACTGTGCAACAGACTGACTTGGGACAGGGGTTCTCCTTTGCTTGGCTGGATGACTGTCTTGTTAGGAAATGCTATAGCTCCTGCTTGACTGCTCCTGCCTTGAATCTTGACTAAATTATCTTCAAGGGCCTTCCCAATTCTTTGCATTCATAAAATACAAGCAAGCTCACCATCTGGGATGGCTCATAAACTAAGTGTGCTCTACCTGTGTCGAGGTGACCTATTTTAGAAGGCTTGGGTGTATGTTTACATTACAGCACACCGCAGTCTGACAGACTCCTGTATTCTGTATTGACTCAGAGGTGGCATGTTGAGCTCTCAATATGTCAGATTAATTCTTCAACATGCCAAGAGACTGACACACTGACTTGACTCAAAGCTGTTGCCTGAGGGAAGGACTACTCCCTGTGGTCTTACGTTCTTCCTGCTTTTATCCCATTCTGATCACACAGTGTATGCATATAGATGGCATGTTTAAAATGTTCAATGAAATGGGTACTGTGCCAAGCATGCTATCATGCCGTTTTGTTTCCTTGCAAAGGCTGCTTTAAGTGTACTGCTTCCTCATGGGTAATTCACAGAAGCTTTAGTGCATACCAGGCATGATGGCTTCATATGACTTCCTGTTTCAGAGTCAGAAGCTCCAACCCAAGGTGTCTCACAAACTGAGACAAGGACACACACCAGCAGCACCCCTTGCCCCATGTCTCCGCTGCCTTGAACCTCTTCCCGCTGCCCCCATCTTGCACTTCTTGTTGGTTGCAGGACTCTCACAAGACTTTGGCTAGCTGACCACGGCATCAAAGCGAAGGGAAGGAGGGTATGTGATACAATGGAAACGGGCGAGTGCATACTCCAGAGGGCCTTCCAGCCACAATCTTGCTGTGGCAAAGGCCATGAAAGAAAGCAGCTGGTGGAGCTCTTCAGAACACCTAGTGGAGACAGTGGTGATCCTTCCTGGTGGACTATCAGAACCATTCATCACTCCTCCTCCTCCTCCATCAGCAGACAGGGGCACCTCAGTCTGTCACTTGTTGAGGCCAGCTCTGAAGCCAGTATATCTCTGTATGTCACTTGCTGGGGAACATAAGTGGCAGGATGCTGTTACACACACATCCTACTGTTGAGCTTCCCATAGGCAGCAGGTTGGCCACTGCATGAACAGAATGCTGCAGCCCATGAAGCTTTGATCTGATCCAGCATGAATCTTCTCGTGTTCTTAAGACAGGCAAGTTCCAGAAGATGGACATTCAGGTAGGTGTGAACGACTGGCAACAGATGGAGAGCATAATGTTTCATAAAGGATGCAGTTGCGCAGACCTAAAATCTAAATTGGGCTTATCTGGGCCTTATGAACATTCTGAATTCATTTCTAAGTTATATCATTAACAAACTAAATAGCCATATCATAAAAACAATATAAAATTACCCTGGGTAACTGCTCCTCCTACATCTAGAATTGTTCCTTTGATCTGACTGGAACATCTGTTTTAAACTTTTATCTGCACCTACTCCTGTTTCCTCTTGGGTGGGGGTGGGGGAATCAGTATTTTGGTTACAATTCTGCAAGGATTTAATGCTAAAGCTAAAGCTTTTAGCTTTAGTAGGTGAACAGTTAACAGCCAGGAATTCATAACTTCCAGCTTGGGAATCACTGTTCTTCCACAAGAATATTTAATCTTATGAAATATTTGTTCTATTCATTTTAAAGGATGCCATGGCGAAATAGTTCTTAGAAAGAAGATATGGAAAGGAAGGATATCATTGGAACTTCAGCTTCTTGGAATTCTTTGCTTTGACCCACTGTCCTACATTCAAAAGAACAAGTAGAGCTTTCATGATTCATAACTTCACCAGAAAGTATTTTTCTTCTACCATTATTATGTGCTCAATTGCACTGTGTACACATACACAGTATTAATGAATAGCCAAGATACTGACTTTACTCAGAGAAAAGTAAAGACTAGGAAGTATTAAAAACAGATGTTCCAGTCAGATCAAAGGAACTATTATGGGCATAGAAGAAGGAGTTCCCAGGGCATTTCATGTTATATTCATGATGTGACCATTTATTCTATTTACAGGTTTTTATTAGATCAGTAAGCTGCTAAAACCAAAATAAGCCTAATCTGAATTTTGGTCTGAATACATTTATGAAACTGGATTCTCGCCATCTGTTTCTAGAGAAAACAGTGTAGCAGATTTATATGAAGAAAGCTGTTTTCACACATGGGATTAGATCCATGTTTAGTCATGTTTAGAGCCACTAAACCTAAGGGGACAAGTTGCCCATTGATTTTAATATGCCCACTTTAAGCATGACTAAGTCTGGATCAAACCCATGGATTTAATTTATTAGTTTGGGCCCCAGGATTTTATTTTTTATTATTATTATGGCTTAAATTTATCCCACTTTATCTTATAAAATAATTCAATATTACAAACTAATTGGAACAATAAAACAGTATTACTAATGAATAATTGCAGCAATATTTACCCTCAGGAATCTTAATTCAAATTCTAGCTGAAGAGAATGAAAGAGAATAAACTGATCTCTAACTAGATTCATATCATAAGGCTAAGCAAAGATATGGGGCTCATTATAACTTCACCTTACACATGCCTACAATTAAGCTAGAACAAAAATCTGGAATGAGATAACTTATGCACAAAAATATTTCTCATAGTAGTGCAGTGCTGAACATGCAGCCCTTTAGACCTAATACGTTAGAGCTATAAGGAACCTATCAGACCTCATTGCATTATTCTTATCATAAACAAGGTCAGTGCTCATCAGTGAGGAACAATGAGAGGATGGCTCACACAATCATGAGCTGGTCATGGCCACATGATTTGCCTAACTACCTTCCCGCTGCACATCACCAGAACCCAGAGAAGTGCATAATGGGGGATGGCTCCCGAAGCATCCAAGAACCCTACAACAAGCCATGTGTTCTGGGGTGGTTTTGAAACTGAGCATCTTGCCAGGTTCAGACGACACAGCAACCCACGTGCAAATCAGACAGCACACAACTGGCGCATACAGAGCCGGGAAAGACAGCATGGCTTATTTCTCTGGCGATCATGCAAACCCAGCCAATGGCTCTTAATTACGAGCCAAGCATCCTAACTATCAGTGTGTGTCTTTCATCAAAAACCCACATGTGTCATGATAGATTGCAGTCTACATGCTTGTGGGAGAGAACTCATACTGATGCCATTGGTGTGTGCTGACCCATGGGTGTGCTAGTTTTCAATGCACTATCATAACCCACATGTTGAAAGCCAAGCTCCGCATGACTGAGTGAGCCCAAAGAGACAGCACATAACTTCCTCTGCTGAGTACAGCAGCACAATTTCAGCATGAGCCAACAGTATGGTACGGCGGCTAAAGCAATCAAATGCGGTCTTAGGTCACATAACAGAAGGGTGGTGTCCTGATCAAAAGACGTGCTAGTGCCACACTGTCCTGTACCGGCCAGACCGCGTCTTGTTCTGGGTGCAGCATTTCAAGGACACTGACAACTGGAATGTGTCTGGAGAAGGGCAACCATGGCGGCACACTGTCCTAAGACGTTTTGCTCCCTGACGCACCTTTTAAATCTGTTTAGCTGTATGTCTTTCCTGTGTTTGTTTGTGTTTCCAGTTTTTGTGAAGTTGTTACATTTGCTGCTGTTCTACTGTTTTTACTGGGTTTAATTTTCTTATAAGTCACTCTTCGGAGTCTTTTGGAATAAGGAGGCAGGATATAAACTATCTGAATAAATAAATGAAGGTTGACTTGTGAATCCCCCAAAACAGGACATACATATACCCCCAAAAGAGGACAAAATAGGATGCTTGCTCAAATGAAATATGTATAAGCTCATTTATGCCAACACAAATTTGGACAAAATCATTCTAATTTAAATGAAAAGAGAGAATATGTCATCCTATTCTGGAAGACTGTGATCAGCTGCTCTGTGTGCCCTTCTCAGTCCAGGGCCCATGGATGGATAAATTCAATCCCTTCCTTCTGGTAGTTCTTTCTCTTAAAAGCAGAGGTGGAGAGAATAGCCCCTCAAATAGAGGATGCCCCCAAATAAAGAATAGTCCTCTGTGAAAGAGGACACCTTTCCACTTGTCTTCTCTTACTCCCCCCTCCGTCCCTTTTCCTTTTCTTTTTCAGATGGAAATGGCTAGAAGAGATTATTTAACACTTCAGAAATAGTTGTTCAAGGGAATATATATTGAATGCCATTAACCTGATTTTTGTTCTCCCCTGAAGAGGAGGGCAGGACGCACTCCAACAAAGCCAAGTTCAGGGAACCAAGGTTCAATCTGGATGCCAGGAAGTACTTTCAGACAGTTAGGACTCTGAGAGTATGGAATGGGCTTCCACGGGAGGTGGTTGAAGCCCTAATGGTGAGGGTGTTTAAGGATAGGCTAGACATGCACATGGTGGGCATGTCATGAGAGGAGCCAGCTGAAGCCGCGAGTCAGACTAGATTGGCTGGGAGACCCTTTCTAACTCGCTCTGTTTCTATGATATCCCTTTATTTTATCTCCATTAGCAGATTGCACAAGCTTGCTGGGCCAGATGCACTCTGATCCTGCATCAGTTTTATCATCTGCCCAAGGCTCCACATTTAGATCAGCAGAATACAAAACAGATGTAGAATGTGGTGGATAAATGCCAGCGGGTACCTGCACAGATTCAGGT